TGGCCCTGGGCGGCCTGCCCCCGGGCGGCGGGTCTCACCCGCAGCTCTATGGCCGCCTGCCTGGGACCATCTGGAGCTACACGCAGGTGCGGCGCACGGGCGGCGGCGGCGTGGAGACGGTGCAGGGCCCCGGCGTGTCGTGGGTGCACCCGGACGGCGTGGGCGTGCAGATCGACACCATCACGCCCGAGATCCGCGCGCTCTACAACGTGCTGGCCAAGGTGAAGCGCGAGCGCGACGAGTACAAGCGGAGGTGAGTGCGGCCCCGCGTCTGCCCCCGGCGGCCGCGGAATGTGTGCGTTTGGGAGGGGCCGGTGGCAGCCAGCTGGTCCTAGCAGGTGGGCTGGAAACTGTTTGCAGAGCACCCTACACGCGCTTGGAAAACTCAGTTATCTCGTTCCAAGAATGGGGGCGGGCGCTGACTACAGCAGGGGACACCCCCTCCCCCCAACCATCGTCGGAGCAGGCACATTGTATTGTTGTGTAGGTGATAAAATAACCATCGGTGTTTTAAGTGATCTCGTTTAATTCTCATGGTAACACAGAGCGTAGGACATTTTTATCGCCGTTTTATAGATGAGGAAACCCTTATCTTGCCTAAGGCGGCTTGGCTAATAAGTGATGAAGCCAAGATTTGAACTAGTGATTTTAAGTACGCCTGGCTAGTCTGTCTCCCAGCCTAGGTACTTTCCCAAGAATGTATGTGGAGGGGAGCTCCCCTCCCTCCATGGGTGAAAAGAAAAAACTCTTAAGTTACTCACTGACCTTTTTGTTCCTTGAATTAAATGAGATCATGTATTTGAAAATGGATGGGTCTCTCCCTACCGAATGGGGCTAGGGTCTGCCTTCTTGCTCCAGCTCTATAAGGTCCAACTGGCTGGGCTGGATAACCAGACCTGCATCAGATTGGCCACATGCTTTTAAAAACACCTTCTACACCCCCATTGTCATGGTTTGTTGGGCCCCAACAAACTCAGCCCTGAAGGCCCACTCAAAGAGGTAACCTTGGACTGGAAGACTGGCCATTGAATGGACTGAGACCACCACCTCTGAGTAGAGTGCGGGGCAGACTACCTACAGGAATGGCCAGATTCCCCAGGTGGGAAACTAACATTGTTTCCTGCCTGCAGCCTGGCTGATAGTGCTGTCAGCTTCACTTTCAGATGAGAGGAGAGGGGTCCGTCTGTAGCGTCTCAGGCTGGGGTGGGAGGGGGGCTCTCTGCTGTCCCAGCATGGGCACTCTGCATTGGGAACCTTGGCTCTGAGTGCCTGGATTCGGAGGATGTGCTGGGAAGGATCTACTCCTTGAGTCCTGGAGCTCACATGAGCGAAGAGGTCTGCCCAGGGAGCTGGGCATGGGCCTCCCTCTTCCTCTACTGGGCAGGATTCAAATGTCAGCTCTATCACCTGCCAGTGAGATTGTTGAGCCTCTTGGAAGCCTGTTTGCTCATCAGAGAAATGGAATAATGAAATTCACTCACAGTTCTGTGAGGGTAGAGTAGGATGGTGATGCTTTTTGGAAGGTATAAAATGATCGAGTTGATGTCATTAAAGATGGTAGTCCCTTCGTCAGGCTAGCAGGAAACAGATACCTGGAGTCTCAGGGCTCTCCCATGCAGGGCCTGGCTTTCTGAGGGCAAGTCTTACATCCCGCTGTACACTAGCTACTCATCTGGGCGGCTTGTCCCTCTTCAGAGCTTGAGGATGGGGAGTGGGGAGGCCGCCTCTCCGCTCCTTGTGGGCAGCTTCGTTAGGGTGGGTGGGGTAAGGAAATAGGCACTTGCTTTTGATGGTGAAATGTGGAGGGATAGGCCCTTCTGTCTGCCACTGTTGATTGTGTTGTCATGCCCCAGGCTTGTGTTGTGTTTGTTTTAGTGTGTGTGTGCTTCTTGGACCTGGCTACTAAGGAGATGGAAAAACCATGCCCAGTCCTAAAGGGAGGTAGGTTGGCGTTGAGCAATGCTCTGCTTAAGTTGCACTCAGGGTGTGGGGTGTGATGTCAGCTCTGGTGCTGGCCTGGAATGAGATGGGTGCTGCTGAGACAGGTGGAGTGCCGTGTCTCCCTTCCCGCCCTCTGGATGTGTGTGCACCTTCGCTTCCTTTTTTTTTTTTTTTT